GGGGGGGGGGGGGTGACAGGCAGCACGGGCATGGCCGACAACGAGTTGGTGGGCAACTCGGTCGATGGCAGGAACAGCTGCTCAGGGAGGGATGGGGCACACGGTCAGTGGCAGACGACACGGGCTCGGCACGGGCACTTGTCGTTTGGTGGCAAAGTCACAGGTGTCTGTGCGTGACAGACAGGCAAGGCAAGAGAGGCGGAAAGGTCACGCGTCGCAGAAGACTTGGGGCTTGGGGAACAGCGCGCTGCATCTCTCTCTCTCTCACGCTCAAGTTGGACGTGGACGGGCTCGGCATAAAGGGCAACTACCACATGACGCACGCATCGGGTCTTCCGCTACTGGCTGTGCTCATGCTGATGGCTGTGGCAGCCACCCCGTGCGCGGGAGTCGCGCCGATGAGCCGCATCACCGACCGGCTGTGGGTGGGGAACCAGCACGCGGCCGGCAACCTGACGCTGCTGACCGAGATCGGTATCACCGGTGTGGTCAACGTCGCGTGGGACCTTGACATCATGTATCCGGCGAGTGAGTACGTCGGCTCGCTTGCCGAGGACAACGCCCATCTGAAGCTCGAGTACGCCAAGGTCGGCTTGGTGGATGGCGAAGGCAACGCCAACGTCACCCTCGCCGCCGCCGTCTTCCAGGTCGCGCAGATAATGACCAAGCGCACGCTGGAGACCAAGGACGCCCACACATACCCCAATCCGCCGCAGCGCATCCTCCTCCACTGCCATTCGGGCATGTCGCGCTCCGTCACCATCGCTGCCCTCTATCTCCGCTACACAGATCCGGTGACCTACCCGGACTTTGCCGCCGCGCTCTCGTACGTCAAGGCCGCCCGTGGCATCTCCACAGATCCGGCGCCGGCCCTCGTCGCCCTCGCCACCGCCATGTCGCCGCACGACATCTTTGCCCCGTTCGGCGGCCTCCCGCAGTAAAAGTGGCACCTTGGGCGTGGCCGAACAACTCACACGTGCGACATCTCTCTCGCACCACCTCACTCGCGCTCACACCATGCACGCACACGGCGGGGTGGCGACGGGTCTAATCGCAGCTCTTGTCCTCAGTCTTGCTCTTGCCCTCGCATCAGAAGGCCGGGCGGTGACGGTGAGGCTCGCGCATCACGCGCGCACGCTTTCGGAGGAAGATGGGGGTTTTAACGCGCGCGAGGCGACGATGGCGTCGATCGCAGCGGCTCTGCGGGACGGGACACCGTGTGTGGAGATCATCGAGGCGTTTGCTGACGTGGTGGTGACGGGCGAACCAAAGCTGAACGCATGTGTGGGCGGGAGCGTCGACAAGGCGGCGATGCGGGCACGGGCCGCGGCGATCGATGCGATGCTGGCGGAAGGAAAGAAACTTGCGCTGGCGTGTGTGCCGGTGGTGGTCAAGGACAACGTGGATGTTGCCGGGCAACCGACGTCGGGTGGAGTGGCGGCGCTGCGCAAGTCGGTGGCGGCGGTGGACGCGCCGGTATGGGCTGCGGTCGAGGCTGCCGGGGCGGTGCTGGTGTGCAAGGGCAACATGCCGGACTTTGCGGCCAACGGGCTCAACACGGTGTCGTCACGGAGTGGGCAGACGCTGTCGGCGTACAACCGATCGCGGGTGCCGTACGGTTCATCGGGCGGACCGGCGGTGGCGATTTCGGCCTCGTACGGCGTGCTCGGCATTGGGACCGATACCGACGGCTCGATCCAGAACCCGTCGTCGGCGGCGTCGCTGGTTGGCCTCCGCGGCACGCTTGGTCTCGTTCCGACCTTAGGCATCCTCCCGCTCTCCATCTTCTCCGACGTGGCCGGGCCGATGACCCGGACGGTGGCCGATGCTGCGGTGGCGTACCAGGTCATGGTCAACGCCAGCCTCGCAAGCCGCGGCTCGCAGGACTATGTCGGCGCGCTCAAGGCCGACGCACTCGCTGGCGCACGCATCGGCTACCTCTCGTCAGTCCTTGCTCGCGTACCCGGGAAGCAGGTACCAGATCCGGCCGTTGAGGCGCTTGCATGTGCCGCGCTCGACGCGCTAGACAAGGCCGGTGCGCGGGTTACGACCATCGCTCCCAACGCACCGGTAGTCACCGCGCTTGTCAGCATCATCAGCTCGGTGAGCCCGGCGGCGCTCGGCCTCTGCGGCGACTCCTCGTTCAAAGCTGCTGTCAACAGCTTTCTGGCAACAAGGCCTCGCGACGAGGGAATGCGGTCCGTCAGCGAGGTCTATGCCTCGGGCGAATTCCTGCACGGGCTCGGCGGCGTGACAGCGCTGCTGGAGAACGCAATCGCGGCACCGCCGCCGTCGTCGGGCAACGTCTCGGCTGCATGTGCCGGGTATGTGGCAGCGCAGAAAGAAGCGCGGCAGCTGCTGGTCGAGTACCTCGACAGCCACGGTCTTGCAGCCTTTGGGTTTCCGACCGAGAACCAGCCGCCGCCCAAGCTGCCGGGCATCCCGCCGCCGACCGGATGGTTTGGGACGCAGCTTGTGTCGGCGTTCACCGGCCTGCCGGCGATGGTGATGCCAATGGGCGCGACTCTCGGCTACGACACACCGGTCGGGTGGACCTTTCTCGGGCGGCCGTACGACGAGGCGACGCTGTTTGGCCTGGCGTACGGGTTCGAGCTGGCGCATCCATCACGGGTTGTCCCGCCATCGCCGTGAGGCACGGCGCGGGAAGCGGGTCACATGTCGAGCGCGCGAAAGGCGCAGTGTGCGCCGAGAGTAAACGCAGCCAGCATCGAAGCAACAGCCGCCGATGCCGCAGCGGCAAAGTGGGCGGCCTTGGCGGCGAGCGGTGCCCGGACCATGGTCGCGCCGCCAGCGCCTGCAGCAAGGAGCGCTGCGGCTATGGCGGTGATGCGGATCGATGCCCACGACCAGACGGTTGCAGCGGATACGGCGAGCGGCCGCGGGGCAATACGTCGCGGAAAGTGAAAGCAGGGCGCATGTGGCGGAAGGCCGAGGAGGGCGGCGGCTTGCGGTGGGAGGGCGGCGACGACCGAGGCCGAGAGCGTTCTGGCGAGCGGCTCCATGGGCGCGTAGTAGTAGGGGACGAGCTGGACGAGGAGGGCCCAGCGCGGAGCAGACGAGGTATTGATGCCGGTAGCATGCCAGTCCTGGCCAGAGTAGACGAGGACGTCGCCGGGCGAGCCGACCATGTCCTCGGCGCCGGAGGCAAAGAAGGCGGCGTCGTTGTCGTGGAGCGCCCCGCTGGGTGCCCGCCTTGGAGCCCGCCGCAGGTCAGACGAGCCAGGAACAAGCCTTGTGGCTCCGGTCGAGGGCTTGAACTCGGTGAGCATGACAAGCATCTGGACGGTGAGCGCGGCCGAAGGGTGGATGGTGGCGCGCGGCTCGGCGGCGATGTTGTTGTTGTTGTTGTCATCGTCGACGGCGTCGGCTACATCGTCAAGCCAAAACGGATAGTCAATGTGGACGGCATAGTCGGCGTAGTCTGCAGCAGCCCCGGGCGGGAGGCTGGCAAGATCGACAGGGAGTGCGGCGTGGGCGTGGAAGGAGCCGATGCGAAAGGCAGAGCCGAGGAGGGTGGCGATGCCGTCGAGGGGGAGGGCGGCGAGAATAGCGCCAAAGGTGACGGGATCAAGGTCGAGGACGTCGAGGACGCGCTTGGTGAACGGCAACTGCTCGTAGGGCGTGGTGGCGAGGGTTGGTGTAAGGGCGGCAAGGGCATCGGCGACGAGATCGGGTGGGATGGCGGCGGCGACGATGTGTGCGTTCATGGCTGGCGACAAGTGTGGCGGGCTACGGCGATTGGGCTGCGAGAGCTAGGCTTGGGTAGACGCGTCGTCGAGGACGCTGAGGAGAGTGTCGATAAAGGCAGCAAAGTCGGGGTCGTTGCGTGCAGTGGCGTTGAGAGCGGCTTCGCGGTCGGGTGCCGAGTCAATGGAGCGGATCAGTTCCTGCAGCCTGGGATCGGAGACCTGAGAGGTGAGCGCGTCCGAGGCGATGACGGCCGACCAGAGCTCGGGCGTTAGCTTGGGCAGGCTCTCCTCCTCCTCGTCTTCGCCATCGGCGGGTTGAGCGGGTTGTTTCCGGAGCCCTCCTTGCGGATCATCTGACGGCGGCGGAGGGGGCGCGCAGGGCGTCGCCTTGTGGGTCTTGAAACAGGCAACCGAGCAGCTGTGGTCGGTGTGAGGCCGAGCCCAGCATATGGACGATACCCATACCGATGCAGGTGGTGCCGATGATGCGCCATCACGTGTCCCAGCATACCGTCCATACCCCGACCCATACCGATGCAGGTGGTGCCGGTGATGCGCCATCACGTGTCCCAGCATACCGTCCATACCCCGACCCATACCGATGCAGGTGGTGCCGATGATGCGCCATCACGTGTCCCAGCATACCGTCCATACCCCGACCCATACCGATGCAGGTGGTGCCGATGATGCGCCATCACGTGTCCCAGCATACCGTCCATACCCCGACCCATACCGATGCAGGAGGTGGTGCCGATGATGCGCCATCACGTGTCCCAGCATACGGTCCACCGTGCCAATGATGCGTCACGACGTGAGTGCCCCCCCACCCCCCCCCCCCCCCCGTATATTTAATTTGTTCGTGTTCATCCGAGGAAAGGCGAAGGGGGCAACGG